CTTCCCTCTGGGCCAGACAAAAGCAGCTTTCTGCCCAGTGGACGAATAAAAACTGCCTCAGACATGTTGCAGTCCCTGCTCAATGTGCTGCTGCAGTGGATTCTCTATTCTCTATATCTGCTTGTGCTCCAAAACGCAGATGAAGCAGACGGTTCCACTAGTTTAAACATTGGCTCCGGGCTTCATATTCATCGCAGCTCATCTCTTGTGTCAAACGATTAAAACCAGAAAGACCCTGGACTGCTGCCCAGTCACAGACTCTCAGACACATACAGCAGCGTCCCAGCAGGAATCGGCAAAGTGTTAAAGCACTAAATTCAGATCACAATGACAAGAGTCCTGCTGTGGGCGAGGAGCCCCCTGCTGCTCTTGTTCTGCTCTGGTATTTAACAGAAACAGCAGAGCTGTGACCGGGGAAGCAAGGTGTACATTCAGAGCTCTCACCTGGAGGCTGCTGTACAATGAAGCCTTCCTCCCCAAGTGTGTTTTACACATTTCTGTACATTCAATCTACTCCCAAACATATACTGCTCTGTATCGTCATTGTTATAGCATATCTCATTAAGTACAACAGAAAATATAAATTGTGATCTGTAATTGCAAGAATAATCGTGGCTTTTGCTAGATTGATATATACAATATGTACTGTATGTACAAATTCTGAAATCAATTTATTTACAGGGAGATATTTTGTTTACTGCCTTCAGTGTTAGTCATATAAAATAGCCAAAACCTTTAGCAGCAACAGAGGGGTTTGAGTCTAACCAGGGCTCCCCAGTCCAGCAAAGCCTGCCTCAGACAGGACACTGGGACCATTTTAGAACAATTTAGGAACACCTCCTGCGGCGTTTTAAAATGAAATCAAGAATCGTGAGGAGCAGGATGGAGGAAACAGCAACCTTAGTTTAAGGCAGGACCTCATCGACTCTTCGTCCAACAGAGACTGAGGACAATCAAAACAATCTGAGCAGACCAAAGGTATTGTTTTTTCATGGTGTTCAGTGTACTTAGTTCTTGTGTCTTGAATTGTCCTTGACTTCTCGTGGGCAAAGGCAGCGTGCAAAGGTGTCAACTGCCTGAGTGCTTCTGAAACCACACAGTAAGGCACATCAATCAACTGTATATGCCACACTAAGAACTGTACGAATACTACCGTATATACTGGCTAGACAGAATTCAAATCACAGTCATCTTACCACAGCATCAGCAAGGGCATCAATCTGGTTACCTTGTCTGCCTGTGTGCTACTGTTGTGCCTGGGGTCCTCAATGCACTGTATCCTTTAGGAATGCTCCTGAGGAAAATGAATCATGTTCACCAGGGAAGGGCCATTTAAGGGAAAGGGCCCCCAACCTCTCCAGTGGAAGAGATTGATGGGGACTGACACTGCGCCCAATCAGAGGAGAGCCATGAGGAGACCTCACAATAATATGAGAGGTGTGTTTGGGAATAAGATACAAGTGTTAGGCAGGGCTCAGCTGGAAAGCATGTCTTTTGAATCCTCCAGTCCACTTTCAGAAGTGATGCAATAGGACCGTGGCAGCCCAGCTGAAAGACAGTGTAAACAACGTGATGCAACACAGCAGGGCTCTGCGGCTCAACTCCACTGCAAGAAAGTGTAAGAAAGTGTAAGGTGTTACATGCAGGAGCAGAATGGCGTTTGATCCGGCTCGTTTAGGAGCTACAGAACAAAACACCAGGTGAGGAATCCTTTGGGGACGCAGCTCAGGAGAGGTGGCAGATGAGCTGGGGCCGTTGACCTCTCCTGCCTGTTTGCTTGCCAGTAGCTAGGTGACCCAAGGATAATTCTAATAATAATTATAATAATTGTTTACACTTATATAGCGCTTTTCTGGACACTCCATTCAGAGCACTTTACAGGTAATGGGGAATCCTGCTACCACCACCAGTGTGCAGCCCCACCTGGATGATGCGACGGCAGCCATAGTGCGCCAAAACGCTCACCACACTCCAGCTCTCAGTGAGGAGGAGAGCAGAGTGATGAAGCCAGTTCAGAGATGGGGATTATTAGGAGGCCATGATTGGTAAGGGCCAATGGGAAATTTGGCCAGGACGCTGGGATTACACCCTTACTCTTTTCGAGAAACGCTGTGGGGGTTTTAATGACCACAGAGTGTGAGGACCTTGGTTTTACATCTCATCAGAAGGACGGCGCCTGTTTACAGTATAGTGTTCCCATCACTAGACTGGGGCATTAGGACCTACTGTATACAGACTACAGAGTGAACCAGGATCTCAGATCTCACAGGATCTCAACCAGGCCTCACTAGAACAATCCCAAAGTTCAATGTCCAATCCTATAACTGCTTGTGTAAATGTAATGCCTTCTGCTCTCAGTCTCAGGTGCCCTTCCTCTGAATTTCCACTGGTCTGCTCTCACTCTCTCCTCCACTCCTGCCCTGTGACTTCTGGATTTTCCTCTGTCCTCTCCAACTCCACTCTTTCAAAGGGCATCTGCCCTCCACTTAGTGTCTATTCTGCTTGAGAGCATTCAGACCTGACCAGACTTCTATCATACCTGCCTTCTGGACATTTTTCTCTTCTCCCCCTCCCATGTTGCTGCAGAGCTGAGGGCCTCAGAGGGAGACACCTCTTTGCCCAGGATGGTGTTTTATGTGGTCATCACAGCCCTGGTCCTCACCAGCAGCACAGGACCAGCACCTGCAGTGAGCTTCGAGCTTGAAAGATAGGAGACAACTCAGTGGGGCTATATGGTCCCTCATACAAACTGAAGCAAACTCAATAGAATGACAGATGTGTCCCTTCACTGCTCCTCCTATTCAAAGGCAGCTTAGATTCTTCCTACTCAATGGGACATACAGATATTGTGCTGGGTGTAATAATTGAAATACTAATTGCTGGTCTTGGTAAAAACAACACACACACAAGACAGGAGTCATTCTGCTCTGCGGCCTGGCATGCATCACGATTAAGAGCGGATTTGTTGAGCCGGTTAATAATGTACTCTATTCAATTCAGAACAACAGGCCTTTCTACAGCAGCTTGCTCAGTAAAGGCTGAATTCTTGACAGAGGTAGGTAGGTACTTTATTAATCCCATGCGGGAAATTTAGGTAGTGTTGCTGACTCACAGCTCTAAGGTCCTGGGTTCAGTTCTGTCCTGGGGTACAGTCTGTGTGGGACTCTGCAATGCAAGCTTTCACTGGCTGCCTTGTATCCCTCCTGCTGTCCAGAGACATGCTTTTCAGGTAAAATCTCTAAATTGTCCCCTGTGTGTGCCCTGCAATGGACTAGTGTCCTATCTTGAGAGAACCGTGCCTTGGACCTTTGTCACCTGGGAAAGGCGACAACACACCTCCACTTTGCACTGGGCTAAATGGCTGTTGAAAAAGGATGGATGGACTCCTGTTTACCTTCACAATCCCTGTAGGTAAGACTTTCTGTCCATGGAAATTGAAAGAAACCTTGTGCTGCTCAGTTTTCACTCTATAACTCACAGGAGTCGAATACTGGGATACATGTTCATCATAATGACTACCTAACTAGTTAATTATTGCAGCACAAGAGAGAGCTCAGTGTAGAAGGATGTAATTGTGCAATACAGTTGTGTAACTCACCCTGGCGCCAAACTGAAGGAGAAGCAGACAGCTTGCTCTCTCCCACTTCCTGTCTGTCCCTTTGTTTTTCTACTAACAGTTGTACAGACCCCAGGGCACACAGGGAGCAGGAAGAACAGGGATGAGAATTCCTGGCCTGATCCATACCTTTTAAATCCAGAAGACAGAGGATTATAAAAGCCAGAGCGTCTAGGTTCAAAGGAAGCTTCTTTCTCATAGCCATGAGCCTTCTGAACACCTCCTCTTAATCCTCCTGCTCCCACTTGAAACCACTGCTTTTGCACTGAACACAGTCACGGAACAGGTGAAGGTTTATTAGCACTGAAAAGAGAAAGAGACACAACATTTCGGCCAGGTGTCCCCTTTTCTTTTCAGCATGGAATAAACCTCGATCTGTTCCTTTGCAGCCTATGCACCCTGACGCCTGCGTACTTACCTACTTGAACCTTTTCACAACGCAGTCTCTACTTAATTTTTGCATATTGCTGCTCTTTGAGTGCTGCTGAAGGTCACAGGTATCACGCAGTCATGTGTACTGCTGCTGTTGTTTTCTTTACTAATCCTATGTGCACTGTTACTTTCCACTATTCTGCTGGCACACGTGCTGTTGTTTTATGTTCTCACCTCCAGCAATGTGTGATGTCATCTGTTGTGCGAGGAGACACGCTAGTAAGCCTTCCACTGTTATCAGGCACATGTGACAATAAACTTGTCACTTGAAACCTGAACCTTCTCAGGAGTCTCAGCTCAGTGGTTTCGGCCCAGTTTAACTCCACTTAGTCAGCCTCAGCTCTAGTTGCGTTTCACATTCACAGGACCAGCACGCAAAGGGTGAACGTTATTGAGCATTTGTGTGCTGGGTATGGTTCTGTAGTTCTCTTTTTAAACCAGACACTGCCCAGGAAGCAGCCCCAGAGCAGACGTCTCAGCAGTAGAGAATCCACTTAGAAACTGCTGAAAACGTTATTTTTCATGCTTTTGAAATAACTCTATCACCGTGACAGGGAAATTGACGACTTTTCCTCAGAGATTTAGAATTAGACTCATTGATTTTTTTTTTAGTTACAACAAAAACCTGGGGGCGAGGCTGGAGGGTTTTTCACCTACGATAAATGCTGACTTTAAAACCCTCACATCCTTAGGTGCAAGGAAAAAATACAGAATCCCCATGGAACTCAGGTCCATGACTCCAGACATAGCAGAGGCTTGAATCAACAACATCTGGACTGCAGGTTCCTTCCTGCATACAATTAAGGCACTATGTAAAAAAAAAATCCTGATTTTCATTTTATAAAATGTACACATGTAAGAAAGGGTCAGACTTTGTGCAACCATATTGTTATTGATATAGGTCATAGTAACATTTTTAAAGTAATAATGATGATAATTAATGACGACAGATTAGGTTATTAATCAATGCATTGAAACTGGTGCTTTGGCTTGTCTCTGCGCAGTTACGGTAGGAACTAAAATCATAACTATGGCTTTTCAGCGGCGGGAAGCTCGGCGGACCGTCTTGTATTAATCGCTTCAGGAGGGCAAAACACTGCAGACGTCTCACACGGAACCAAATGCGAGGGGAGACGCTGTTCCTCGGGATGGATCGAAATTGCGGGATTTTTTTTAAGTTTATTTCAAAGCACACTTTAAAAGAGACCTCTAGCGGTAACCAGAGTGTGGCCGTTTCTGATCTGGTGTCGCAAGAAAAACATTCCCCATCTCCTCTCAGCCGAATAACGTTTTTCGCTAACGGAGGTGGTGGAGAAAGGACGTGCTGGTCGTAGGTAAGAAAGGTAACGTTTTGATTTAAACGCGCTTTTCCGTCATCATGCCCATGTCCTTGATCATGCATCAAACATGTCGTGGCGTCATGTTTGTGTGATGTATACGGAGTGATTAACGGAGTCTTGAAATCGCCTTCGACGAGTATCTGCTTTCAACGCCACATCATCATGCACAACGACGAGAAAAATAGGGAACCGAAGGAATAATGGATGTGCTGTTAATTAAAGTTGGCACAGAATGAGAATGATGTGCTAAAGCCGAATGTGTTGTAATTACCGTACATGGTAGCCGGTGCGAGTACGGAGCTGGTTTAAGGTGCTTTCTGCACATCAGTAAAGTTCATTAATGCTGATGGTTGTATGTAACAGTGACTTATTGCAAACAAGAATGTAATTTGCAACTCCTATTAGTTTGCATGTGTGCATGCTTTAAAATTTTAAGCCCTCCGTTTTTGGAGGAGAACCTGAGAGTGTCCCTTTTTTATGAATTCTTTTTCACGCACTACAGGATGACACACCATTGTGTTTGTTTAATATTTCCTTCTTCAAGTCAGTGACCTCTTTCCCATTCCAATAAAAGAATCGCTGTAAAAATGTATTCCTGTTGTCTGTGATCTTGTGCTTGCTTATATCATTTCTGGCTCCCAGAGTTTCATTTTTTTTTGGACTCTCTTGCTCACCTGCCTTGACTCATCCTCACAGTCTCTGTCTTTTTCTCCTTATCCTCATATTCCTTGACTACCTGAAGAGGCTCAACAGACAAAACATATTTTTTTAAATCTTTATTCAAAGCCTTACAGCCATCCATTTTCTAACCTCTTCGTCCGGTTCAGGGTAAACAGGGAGCTGGATCCGATATCATCATTGGACACACACACACTTTTCCCAGAAGCCAGTGAACCTACTAGTATGCTTCTGGACTGTGGGAGGAAACCCACATGGACATGGGGGGAACATGCAAACTCCACACACACAAGTTCCACACCAGGAATTGAACCCAGAGGCCCCAGGCTGCCATGCCATGCTGCCCTCAAAGCCTTCCTCTTAAAAAACAAATGCTGTAGAGAAATAAAAACTGGAAAAGGCCGTGATAATCTAGCGCACAGAAACTGTGACGATAAAGGGGTCAGCCCTGCGGCAACCGAAATGAAATTGCCAAACGCAAGGATGAATCACAAGGTAACTGCTAAACGGGTGGGTCAGAGGGAGCCGCTGGCGGGTGGGGACATGTGGCATACATGTAGTCCTGTTTCTGGGTAGCCACTGGCCCCATCACAAGGGGGCGCTGGAGAGGGGAAGAAGCAGCACCAATGCAGACAGGTGAGGGGACAACTGAGCCACTGGCAGAAGAGGAGCAGGAGACGGGGGGGCAGAGGTGGAGAGAGATGGGATACGAGGGTGGGGGGGCATTTGTTTGTTTTGCTGGCTGCCAGGAAAATCCAGAACTGCAGGCAAAGAGGAGGCAGCAGGAGTAGGAGAAGATCCAGAAATCCTTTCGTGTGCTTTTCATGGAAGCTGCTCCGTAAATTTCATTTTCTTCAAAGGTGTACATTATGTTTATCAGATCAATCTGTTTTCTTATTAACACGTTTAGCAAGTTTAAGAACATCGGTATTTAACTGGCACTGCAATATACACTGTGATGATTTTTAAAATTCTGTGGAATGTCCACAGCTCCTAATGTAATTACAGAAAGACGGTATTATATTAGTGGTTACGGCAATAACTGTCTCTTTGCAATAAGGTCAGAACCCACCGAAAAAAGATCATTTGGATGTCAATACAAAGTCATGAGGGAACACAACATACAAAACATTTGCCTGTTAGGAGTTGATTTGCATGATGTCCTGTAAGAGAACTGACCAGCGAGCTACAGTGACAGACCATCCTGCAGCGCTTCCTCCCGAGCTCAGAGAAGAGGCAGGCAAAGTAGCCTGCAGTTGTGTTCTGTTGTTGGGAAGGGGCTGAGCCTGCCTTGGTGTCTGTCTTTTCAGAATCCCTAGACAGACGAGGGGCACGGAGAGAACGGAAAGTGAAACAGCTTCAGGAGCAAGATGACCAGGAAGGCCGAGCTCCAGTCGTACTGCTGCTCACCCCTGGACAGCTGCTGATTTCATTCTGGGAGCATTTGTTGTCTCAAAAATCAGCTGTTCTTCTGCCTGAAAAAGACAGATAAAGACGTAACGAGATGGGGCCTGATGTTGGGACGGATCTCGTTGAGTTTTTTGCCTCGCTGTTAGATCTGCACAGGCAGCAGCTTCGAGCCCTCACCAGGCAGGGAGACATCCAGGCAGCAGTGCTGGCCAAGCTGCTGAACTACAGGAAAGCCAGCCCCTCCCAGACCTGGGGAGAGCTGCGAATGCCGCAGATGGCTCCGGGCGCCGACCCGGAGTCCTACATCACGGTCTTCGAGCACACCGCCACCAGCAGCCGGCTGCCCAGGGAGCAGTGGGCTGGGCGGCTCAGGGGCCTGTTGAGCGAAGAGGCTCGTGCGGCCTGCCCAGCCCCCAGCTCCCGGGAGGAGCCGGCGGACTACGAGGCGCTGAAGGCCAGGGTCTTGAACCTGTCCGCGGCCGAGGAAGACGGCCATCGCCTCCAGTTCCGCTCGCTCCGCTGTCCCCCCGGCGGGAGCCCCCGGGCCGTGGCCAAGCAGCTGTACGAGGCCGCGGAGCGCTGGCTAAAGCCCGAGAGGAGGTCCAGCACGCAGGTGCTCCACCGGATCGTTATCGAGCAGTTTGTGTCCGTCCTCCCTGACGACACCGCCGCCTGGGTCCGGAGACACTGTCCTACTAACCTCGACAGGGCGATCCGGCTCGCCGAAGACCACCGCGCTGTCCCCGGACCCGCTGCCGGGCGGAAAGGACCGGACCCCCTCCCAAGCCAAACCAGCGGCTCAGGTCAAGGCCCAGCAGCTGCCGGTCTCTCCGGTTCCCAGCAAACCCCAGGAGAAGCAACACAGGACAGGAGTTCACATTTCCCAACCCAGGAGCACCCCTCTCCTCCACAGTACGTATCAGCTAGAGCGCGTAGTGTCAAACTGACCTAAATACACACTGATCCATATTGTCAGAATGAATACCCTACAGATAAAGTGGGCCATGTGACTACTCTTGATTAGCCGGTGGCATAAACAGGATTTCTGTTTTCAGTCCGGACTTGTACAGTATAGCGACCAGGGGGAGGGTTATAATCTCATGGCAGTGTCCTCAGAGTAACATCCCTCAGGAAAAAGACATGGTTCAGCACAGGCAAGCTAGCAATGAGCAATAAGGAAAAGCAGTTTGAATGCCATCAGAAAAGAAGTTATGAATTCAGCAGATTTAACACAAAGCAATAGAACTACAAAGGGCACACAATAAATTGAAGCAGAAGCCAATCTCATTTTGTAATTGCTATATTTTAATAGGTTTGTGATACCTGTCAACATAACACATTTTAAATGAGAAATGTGGAGAGGGAAATGTTCAAAAGGAAAAGTAGAATATCAGCACTTCTTTCCTAGTATCCTGCAGTGGTTAGTGTTCATATTTTATCATGTCTCATGTAGATTTCCATTCAGCAGACCTGTGGGTGACGGTTTACACTTAAAAAGAACGTAAAGTGTTTTATGTCAAGGCCATTTGTGAAAAAAGAAGCTGAGGAAAATGATCTATTTAGTTGATTTCTTAAAAGTTCTGGGCAAACCTGCCCTACCCAGGTCTTTATACAGTAAATCCAGGCACTGTTTCAAAGTACAAAACTTAAAATGTTGCATCTTAAAGCTGGATTCAGACAGAAGATGGGTATTGCTTGTCTTTTTTAGGAAAGTACACCTTCACAGAGGTTCTGACTATAATGGAAGTCAAGGCTCCAAGACCAAGTCCTTCCCCGTCAAGCGTGAAGATGTTTCTCTGGATTGTGAAAACGTTAAACTGGAGGTCTATGAGTTACCATCTGTTTCCTTTGAAGTGGAGCTGCCCGCTGTCAGTTCTGTTAACAGCACACAACCGGTGCGTGCTCAACATTCTGCCGGCTGTCACCGCAGGCTCTCGAAAATGCATTGTCAGCCTGGTGAACGGGTTTGTCTTTTTGTTCAACGTGAGCCGCCCAGATCGCAAACTGTCCACCGCAGCCAAGAAGCAATTCAACTAGAGCATGTCCACAACGTACAGAAGCCACCGGAGTTACAGTCGTCAGTGGACAGCAGAGAAAATGGAGATAATCCCCATCCTGACCGCACTAATCCTGAGGCACCTGAAGGGAGGACTGCAGAAATAAGCCCTATTTGGAGGGTAAGTGAGAACACTGCACCTCATGAGAAGGCTGATGAAGACCTACCCGTTAGCGTTGAAGAGCCAGAGGAGCAGTCGTCACACCCTCAAGATCAGGAGGAACAGGTCTTGGCTGATGAGGAAATGACCTGTTTGCCAGACCCATCTCCGCACTCTTTACCTCCTGCCTGTACCTCTGAGACAGAAGCAGGCCCTAGTTTAGGTGGTCCCAGCAGCCCCGATCCCAAAAGGAAAGGGACCGAGGACAGTGGGAGAAGTGGGAGAAAATTCCGCACCCAGCACGTGAAGATTCCCGTGGCCGACAAGCTGCATCAGTGCTCCTACTGCAGGCGGACGTTCGTGACCCACCCGGACCTTCTGCTCCACCAGAAGTCTCACAGTGGGAAGAAGCCATATGTGTGCCCCAAGTGTAGCAGCAAATTCAGTAAGCCGCACCATCTCAAGAGACACCTGCGGATCCACAGTGGGGAAAAGCCCTACCGCTGCGGGGACTGTGGGAAAAGTTTCAGAGAGCTGGACACCCTGAAAAGGCACCAGCACATTCACACCGGAGCCAAGCTGTGGCAGTGCGAGGACTGCAAGAAGTGCTTCAGCCAGATTTGGAGCCTGAAAGAGCACCAGAAAATTCACACGGGCGAGAAACCATTTAGGTGCACAGAATGTGGGAAGAGGTTCCGGCACAAAAGTGCCCTGATAAAGCATCATCGAACCCACACAGGGGAGAGACCGTATGTGTGTGGGACATGCAGGAAGGGTTTCGGTCAATTGGATACTCTCAAAAGGCACCAGGTTGTCCACATGAAACAGAAGCCAAACGAGACAAGAGCTAGAAAATAATCAAAATTTCCCTCTTCTGGGATATGACCTCTATTACAAATTAGCTGCCAAATTACCTACAGAATATCATACACACATTTGGAAAGTACACCAGAACTGGAATACACTTACACTGGTGGACAATGGTGTTATTCATCACATGCGCTGGATCTACTGTAATCTGGTGGTCTCATTTCACAATGTGGACTTGTGGTGTACTTTACACGTGGAGGGTTATTTTTGTTAGCAGACGCCCAATGTGACGTGTTAGATGGGGATTGTGTTCAGTGACCGTTTTAGTGTTTGGTTTCCATCTTAATAAAATTGATGTTATTGTCAGTATTTGGGGATCTTGCAACGTGTATTGTTTGTATCCAGTGGATGTGTAATACTTCCATGGAAGATCAAGAAAAAGAGAATGAAATGTTTTGTGAAGCCCAACTCTGATTTACTGACTTTTTGGGTTGGAATGGGCCATCGCTGATTATTTTGGTTACCTCCTCTGCTGCTGATTGCATCTCCATTTGTCTCACTTCTAAAAACATCAGCAGTGTAGGTAGAGGGGTTGGTATGTGGCTTCCTCAGAACAAGTATCACTAAAATTGACATGTTCTGTGAACATGTCCAGCTCTTTCTGTCCAGGGCTGTAAAACACTGCCTCAAGCAAAACAAACAGTTGTGAGAACAAGTTTGTGAACCCTTTGGAAATATCTGGATTTCTGCAGGAATGGCTCCAAAAATGTGATCTGATCTTTATCTAAGTCATAATAATAAATAAGGACGGTCTTATTTAACAAACAACCCACACAACATTTTACATTGTCATCTCTTTATTGAATAAATGGTTTAAACAATCAAGGTCATTTCTGGAAAAAGTATGTGAACCTCTAGGATAATGACATCTTGAAAAGAGGGTGATTGCAGTCAGGTATTCCAATCAATGAGTCAGGTGTCCTAATCAATTCAGGTGTGGGTTCGACCTGCCCTGCCGTATAAAACAATCACCCAGTTTTGGTTACCTGCTCTTCACAACAGAATTCTGTTGAAGTGCAAAATGGCCTGATCAAGATTTCAGAGGACCTCAGAAGAAGAGTTGTTGAAGCTCATAAGACTGGAAAGGGTTTCAAAAGGATTTCTAAAGACTTTGGCCTTCACCAGTCCACGGTCAGGCAGAGAGTTTATGAGTGGAAGAAATTCAGCACCGTTGCTCCTATCCCTAGGAGTAGGCATCTACAAAGATCAGCGCAAGGACACGCCGTACAGTCCTCAAACAGGTGACAAAGAACCCTAGGGTGACAACTAAGGGTCTGCAGGCATCTCTTGCACTTGATAACATCTGTGTTCAGCAAGAGCGGTGTTCATGAGAGGTTACCACGGAGGAAACCACTGCTCTCCTGCCTGTATCAAGTTCACTAAAGACTACCTTGATGTTCGACAGTACCACTGGAACAATGTTTTGTGGACAGATGAGACAAAAGTTGAACTTTTTGGTAAATGTACAAAGCGTTATGTTTGGAGAAACAAAACACCACATACCAACACCAAACCCTCATCCTAACTGTGAAACGTGGTGGAGGGTGTATAATGGTGTGGGGCTGCTTTGTTGCCTCAGGGCCTGGACAGCTTGCAATCATTGAGAGACCAATGAATTCCATGTTGTATCAGGAACTTCTACAGCAGAATGTCAGGGCATCTGTCTGCGATCTAAAATTCAAAAGCCGTTGGGTCATGCAACATGACAATGATCCAAAACACAGGAGTAGAGTAGAGTGGCTCAAACAGAAGAAATGCCGTATTTAAGAATGGCCAAGTCAGTCCTGACTTCAATCCCATTGAAATGCTGTGGCATGATCTAAAGCAGGCCATTCAAGCAAGACATGCCAAAAAAATACTGAAATATATGTAGTGTGCTCTCTGAAGCCACCAGTTCTGTAGGGTTTGGGCATTTACGGGGACAATTCTTAATTGTCCGTAAATCACAAAATGATTCTTTTGATGGCTTTAGAATCCAACCATGCGATATAACTCAAACAACGCACACACACACACACACACACACACACACAGGTACTAATACACGAGGATACATTTATTGATACATAGAATATGCATGTAAACCTAACAGATCTTATCGAGAGGGTTATCAGAGTACAAAAGGTATATATTCAGTCAGTTATAAAGAGTTACA